AGGCTGCTCTAGGGAACGAGGAGCCCCTCCCAGCACGCCCCTGCGGGGTTTGCACTCTGGTGACCTGGGAAGTGGAACTTGGCACACGCAAAGGCACTCCTAGCAGCTTTGTTAAAGCAAATCGAACTCTGCTCTTTGCTCAGGAAAATAAAATTCCTCATTTTATACTGTTTCTGACACTTCAGGTTCTCAAACCTGTTACAGACAAGGCACTGCACAGTCTGCGTTGTTTTAATATTGTGCACTGAGTCCTTAATAGTAAAGGCCTACTTTTCTGTCCAGAGCTTGTTAAAGGGGAAGGAGGGGGGAGCCTGGCTGGGCCCTGACCCTAGCAGCTGAGGCTCAGCTGCCTGGAGCGGATTAGTTGGAGAGCTCCAGTCTCTGAACCATGAACTCTGCCATTAGAGATGGAGGGCAATCATGTCCGTCTTTGTAGCTGTTTTCCATGTTTGGTTTTTTATTTGTTGTTTCCCGTGTTTTGTGTTCATTCTAATCAAGTCTTGTCCACTAAAGATCCAGTCTTTATCTCTATCAAAACCTGTCACTCAGTGACCCCAGCAGAGAAAGCCAAAGGCTTGTGCTGTTGGATGGGCTGCACCAATCAGTCCTATCTGCAGGAAGAAGGATGTTCCCTGATCACTGCAGCCCCCAAGCCCAGGTCCCACCTCCCCGGGGCAGGAAGCACAAAGTCTCACCTAACAGAATATTCACCCCCACCTGCAGTGCCTGGGGGGGGGAGGGCAGGCAGAGCAAGTCCAGGGCAGAGGGGCCTGAGTCAAGGGCAGAGAGGGCCATCAGGAACAGCAGAGCCCAGGGCAGGGAGGGTCCTGGGGAAGAAGAGAGTCCAGGGTAGAGATAGCCCTGGTAGAGTGGGGGTACTGGACATTCCTTGATCCCCTGCTGCTTGAGCCAAGTCCAAGAGGCAAATGGCCTGGGCACCCTCTGGGCTGTCTGGGGTGGGGGGCAGTGATGGCCATGTCTGCAGCAAGGGGGCCTGCCACATCTTCTGGTAAGCACGGGTCCCTTGGCTGCCCACACCTGCTCTCTGCAACCCAGAGAGCTTCCTGATTCCGTGAGCTGCTCAGACTGATGAGACCTCACTTCAGAGGAGGAGACAGTGCGGGGCCCCCGACATTTCAGATGTTCAGGGCTAAGGTGCTTTCCAGTCCATCCGGAGTGTTGCGATCCTAGTACTGTAGACACATTTCATAAATGGGAATGCTACCTGTTCTTGTCCTCGGAATGCAAGTAAAGCCACATGAATGTATTTCCTTAGGAAACAATTGTAAAACTTTTACTAGGAAATTTTTCCTATTTATTTAATACTGCACTTTGGCCTACTTTGTGGTAGATACTATGGAACATATACATTTAAGGGACCACAATTTCTCACTTCCTGTCTGTCATCTTGTTACAGTGCTCAGCACGCCACGTGCTGATCTGTTGTGAAGGGGAGAATTTCAGGGGACTTGGAATAGAAGTGCGTCTTGTGTGTGTGCGACTCCTGTACACTGTGAATGCAATCTGGTCACACTTCAATCCCAAACCATGTGCCTTACAAAACCCCTTCTGATGTGCTCTTGGGGGTCTGGGCAGGGAGGGGCCCCTCCAACCACCTCTTGATTCTATTAAAAACATTTCCACAGCACCGACTGCGACTTGGTTTGTGAACGGTTCTCAGTGTGGCCTCACACCTGCTACTCTGTGGCTGCAGCCTGACCTCTGGCCACTTGTGTGGCATGCAGCTCTGGCGCTGGCAGGCCTGCAGAACTAGCCATTGGGGTGGGCTCAGGAAGATAGAGGGTTGTCGGGACTGAGGCACCGAGTCCAGGTCGGCAGCAACCGGCCTTGTGCTGAAGAACCTGGGGGCTAAGAGCTTGAACAGGGGGGTGTGGAGTATGTATTTTTTAGTAGACTCGTCCGTTACTGAGACAGGAAAGGAGACCAGTGTGGAGGGTCTTTCTGGGTCAGCTAGGGATGACACCCAGGGTGGGTAAATGTGGGACCACTTCATGTCTTGTGGACCAGGAGCAGAGCCTGCTGGACCCCAGGACGCACCCAGCAGGCCTCCCCACAGGGTCCTCAAGCTATGGTATTCAGGGAAGAACATCTTTAAGAGTTAAGCTTTATATGAATGAAACACACTAGAAACAAATTCTTGTAAGTAAACTCACACAAAATTTCAGTAATATAAAAAGCGTTCTTCCACATATACTATATAAAACAGCCCATCAGGTAGGCTGTCCAGAGAAAGCTTTCGGGAGCTGAGGAGTAAGCTAAACCTCCTTCCCAAGGTGCTTCAGAGCCATCTCTGGAATAGAGAGGTGGGGCTAGGCTCTCCCAGTCACCCACCAAACATCCCCATGGTGGAGACCTCGCCTTGACCCGCAGAGGACGGAGGTGGCTGCTAAACCCTTACAGCATTCTTGGTCACACACACAGCTGCAGGGCCTTGAGTCCCCTTGGAGACACTTTATGAAAAAGGGGTGACCAAGATTTCCATTTGAAAGAGTTTTTTCAAATGGCCATTGAAGATGTTTTCCCCAGGACAAGCTAAGGTTTAAAGGGATATACTCCCGAGATGTACCTGTCACACCCTAATGAATGTATCTGTCTCTCCATGAACATACTTGTACTCCTGAGATGTACCTGTCACCCTCCCATGAACGTACCTGATCTAACCCCCGGGATATACCTGTCACCCCATGAA